TGATATTGTGTGATACTGTGATCTTCCCCTGTCTCCTGACTGATCGTTTCCACTCCTGTGTGTCCACTTTTCATAAGCCATTACTGGTAGTGATCCCACTGAGCAGAATATGAGAGGCGGTATAAAACAAAATTTCACCATTTAAGCAACATGAGTATGGGAAGGAGTAATGAAAGAATGAGTTCCTCTGTCCAGCTCCAGCTGTATACTACAGTAAGATCCATTTACACCAGCATTTTCATTTGACTCAAGATTGTGCCTCCAAGGTGTACCTCCCAGCTCTCTCCACTTGCTACACCTTGGTTCACATACTGAAATGCTCTCAGGGGATATAAACTAGATTCCTTTCAAATGAATTTAAACAAGATATGCCCCAACGGTTTGGGGCGTTCAGTCCTTGGGACTGAAACTGTCATGAATGAAAACGCCAGTACATATATCAGGGTCTAAGAACCAACCTTTTGTTTTACAGGTATGCACTTATCAGACCACAGTACTTGCCATAGCAGTCAAAGAGTCTCTGGAGTTTTGCTGTCTAGAGCTAACGGTCCAGCTTTTCCTAAAATTCAACTTCTTTTAAGACATGGACTTGAGAGAGAAAATGAATTTCCTTTCATTCAGTACCAACAGAACTGCAAATTAATGCTGTTTGAAAGGGCAGAGACCCCTACAAGAAGGCTGAGAGATCAATCAGGAGAATAATAAAGGGGAAAAATATAAAATCTGTATCAGGTGGATGAACTAATGAATCCTGATAAGGATTGTTTAATGTTGTCCTATATCTTATTCTTTAAATGCAGTCATAAAATCCAGGCTACAGTTTTCTTGCTAAATGATGTATATCTTTAAATTATAACCTCCTCCTTCCTTTTTCTTTCCTTCCTTTAATCTTCTCCTTTAAAACATTCCTCCAATTAAGACTTTGATGTCACTGATACTCTTGCTTTACAGCTGATCTTCCCCTAGTTTTGCTTCTTTTTCTACTGCAGAAAATGTAGTCAAGCGCATAGATGAATGAGCAGGAATATCAGGCTTGTTTGCAAATAATCTGCAATAATCTGCAATAATAATTTGTTGCAGATTAAATAATCTGCAATAATAAATTGCAAATAATCTGCAATAAGTGAAGTATTTCTTTGCAAGAAAGACAGTAGACAGAGGAAAAAAAAAATCTCCTAAGAATTAATGAAAATTTAGGGACTGAGGTATCCCAGCTCTGTATCAAAACAGAGGTTTATTTTTAGCTCTTCTGATAATTGCTGACTTGATCCCACTGTAAAGTGCCTCAAATTTGATGGATTTTTCTGTAACCTGAAACAAAAGTACGTCAAATACTTCCTCTTACTGAACTCTTGGTCCAAAATGATCCTACCAAAATGATGTAGTAGGTTCTCCTACTTCATCATTAAGAAGATTTATTTAGATATAGAAAAGTGTCTCAGCCAAAAAAAAAAAAGCAAGCAAATGACAGTGACAAAGCACAACCTGTTATATGGTATATACACCAAAGGGTGAAGGCACGTGAGACAACATATGGGAAGCAGTAATGGAAAACTGTACTTTAGGGCGTAGCAAAAGGTGGATCCCCTGACTAAGAAATACACTATGGAGACCAGCTTCATGAAACAAGCATCAGGGATCAGTACAGCCTATGGAAAAGCCCATCTCCTTACTGTGTACTTGAGGGAGAAGAAAAAGGGCAAAACTAATGCTAATAAATCATTAATAACTCAATGGTTTTGGCTGAACTAGACCATGACATCTGAATTTGCAGCTAACAGCCCCAGTGCTAATGCTGCTATTTGCCATCACCCAGTTCTCAGGAGCTTTGTCTCAGATACATATACTGGGCCACTGTTCAGTCTTACTGGCAGGATTTGAATTGTACGAATGGTGAGAGATCATTCCTAATGATTGGAATTATTTGTCTCAAAGTTTAGCCAACCTTAGCTCCAAGTTAATTCACTCCTTTACTATTTCTCTCTAACCCTTTTCCTCACAAGAAAGAACAAGTCTCATACTGCAGCTGAGATACAGTTGGATGCTATAAAAAACCAAAATGTCAGTGCCTGAATTGAAAGTTTGTTGCTTTTCAATTTTCCTTCCACTTCCTTACCTTTTATTTGAAGTTGCAAAAATACAGCTTTGGAGTCTTTCAGTCCCATTGGGCTAGTTTCACTTGATTTCAATTTAACTGAGGACTGTGTTTTAAGGAAAGCCAATATTCTCCCTCTTTGCTCCTTTAATGGATACCCCGCTTTTATTTGTATTTTTCATTGAGCAAGTAATTATGAGCGTAATGTATAATCCTTCTATAGGTAATAAAATTCAGAGAGGAGCATGGAAATGCCATTCAGAATGCAGCCCTGGAGCCCGAAGATTGCCCTATGTGTGATGATGTGGAAGATAATTTACCCATTTTATAAAATTTGCAATCATTAGCCTGTAGCACTGTGAAGAAAATCAAGTGCAGGTGAAATGGTTCATATTACAGACAACACAGGATACACAAATATGCATGTGCTACAAACATGATTTTTTAAAAAACTGAAAATAACTGTGTTTCCAGAATTTAAGTGATCATATGCATAAACGACCAGATTTCTTAGCTATTATTATATAAGTTTGATAGGAATTGAAGTTTCAGCAGCCTGCAGCTGAAACGTTGGATTAGCATGGGGCAACCTAAACACAAAGATTTTTACAGGTGTTCACCGGAGCTCTGGTCTTGAGGAACGCTAGTGCAATTTTGGTCTGTGAAAGACAACAAATTATGAATTTCAAAAGCTCATGTTTGCTCTTCTTTTAAGCTGTTAATTGCCCAGAAAATGGAACTAATAAGGACTGGTTTCCTGTAGTTATTGGCTCATGGAAGCTTTTCCTGAATCTGAGGCATTCATAATGCCTCTTCATTATATGGATATTCTGGCATTCAACAGAAACTGACATCAAGCCACAGTCCTTTCCTCTGGGAGGGATGGAGCACTTCCCTCTTCTCCTTTGATTATTTTCCCATGCCATGTAGGATCTTTGTTGCTTTGGTTTAGCTTGGGTTTTTTTTTTCAACTTTCACCCCTTTTTAAATTTGGCTAAAAAATCAGTTTGAAAGAAACTGCAAAAATAAGGGAGACACATGCACACACATACAGTATGATCCCACAAGCCTGTTTTTCATGGAGACAGTCTGAAAACTTCACCATCTGGAAACAGCCAGAAATTTAAATATATGAACAGAAGGGAAAAGGTGTCTGGAATACAAAGGTGTCCTTTTCCCTTGGGGTACAACTGCATATACTCAACACTAGCCCAGACCAAAAGATTAATGCTAATTCTATAAAACCATACACATCTAATGAAAGCTTAGGAACATCTTTATTCAAGACAGAAGCAGAGGATATTGAGATAGTGAGATAGTGATTTATTTTCTATTAAAAAAAATCTCTAAAAAAATCTAAATAAAATCTCTAAAGAAATGTGCTGAACATTTTGTTTCTTTGCACCAGGGGCTTAGTACGGCAAGTAATATAATAATAAAATTTATTCATGGGGGTTTACTGACTTTAATTGGCTACCAACTGGATCAGAGGTATTTTACCACAAAATAATTGATGGAAGAAACAGAAAGATGCTCAGTTTGAGCCACTCCTAGCTGTACTTCCCTCTCTAAGCAATGGCTAGCATGGCTAGAATCTAACTCAGCATGTCTGTCATGTTGTTCTTTGAAAGCAATTATTTCATAGAAATATGGATAATTATTAAAATGTACTCTTCTGCATGTACATCACCAAAACACTGTCAAAGTGTCATGTTGAATATGTGGTACAGCATAAACCACTCACATTCAAAACTTTCTTGTGCACTTTCTGAGTGAGTGGAAGAGATGAAATTATCGCCTTGGAGTAATTTATTACTGTAACATTGTATGAACAATTAGGATATTTCTTGTAACTTTGGGTTGCGCTTGTGGGTAACTCCTACACAGATAGCAAATTCCCTCATGTTTGTCATAGAATTCTTCCTTCTGTCCCAAGTCAGTTTATGTACAACCTAGAAAGGAAGAACTGGATATTGTTTAGACTTAATTCTGGAAACCAACAAGAAGATCACAGCTTGATCTTAGACAACAACATGTGAATAAGAAGAATGTGGTTATCAATGCAGTTCTTTCCTTGTGGTCCTCCTGCCTTTTGTAACCAGGCACACCACTAAGCCTCAGCTATCTTGTGCACTGTCAGCATTACATACAGCAATCTGTTCTTCCCTTAAAGTGAGTTTGGCCTTTAAGCACGGTGACATACAGTATTAAGAAGTACTGATTTGCCAGTGGTGGGATAAAACCTGGGACAGTGACTCAAAAGCCTCTAGTTCATTATTTCTGGTGGACTTAGGGTGATTATTGCCAAAGAGATACTGAATTGTTCCACTGCAATTTGATCTAAAGTCAAAATTTGTCAGTTTTTGCTAGATTATGTGTCAACCTGTATATCTGTCAACCTAAAGACGAGAGTAAAATTCAGATGTTGAAAAATAATGAGGCAATCATAATGCCTGCCCAAATACTTGCAACTTAATCTTCCATATCCCTTACACTTCAACTCTGATCTATATATAGACACAGACAGTACCTTGGGTGTGGTTAGAGTCACCTCTCCTTTTATAAGTTCTGTTCAAAACTTTTCTCTCTTAAATTGCTAGAAAATATCACAAGTAGCAAAACCAAGTTTGTTGTTAAATAAGTTTGTAAATCTCTGCAGAACCAGGATTCACTTAGAGCCCTCCGTAATAGCAGGTCTGTGTGCATACCACACAATTGGCATGCTTAGTCTTCCAATGTAAAGGACCATTATTTTGTTTTCCAAGAGACAGTATATGCACCACCAGGCTGGTAAATTTATTGTTGAGATGAAGCAAGAAAGATTTATATAGCCATAAGTTGTTACTAAACATTAGTTTATAGGTATAGATACACTGAAAGAGAAAAATAAGAAAAAATTATATACCTGTTGGGTAGTGTTCATTTACTGGCCAACTGTCAACCTGAAGTGTGGCATTGCCACCATTCCTGGTAAAGCGTACCACGTGGTATTTGCCATCATTTACAGGTGTGCTTTCCTCTTTAATAGAGATGTCCACCGTGCCAATATTGAAGACTACACCAATCTTGCCTTGCTCCTAAAATAAAAGAAAAAATAAATAAACACTTGTAAATTGATGCCTATTAGGAGTATGTTCTTGCCCTGATACAAATACCTAATGGGTAATTGTGCTGGTAGATAGCACTGAAGAATACACAGAAGCATCATTTTGAGCTTTGTCAGGACGCATTTCATTGACTCTGCTTCAATACATTGTCTTTTGAACTCTCCTTTACAGCATTCACCTGAATGTACTGACTCATTTGTTCTCTTAAAACATCAAAGACAGGTTGTAGATCAGGCCACAAAAAACAGGAGATGGGGATAAATATTAATTTGAGCAACATATCTACTGATTATTAGCAGTCATTTGTCCAATTGTCATCTGAAATGCAGCCACTGGTAGGCTGTATAACCCAACAACTTTCATTCTGTTATTCTGCTTGGGAAACAAGCAGCCCCTAGCCCAAAACAAATAACTGAGATCTAGCAGGAAGAGTGCAGTTGCAAGAGGAATGGATTTTGAAGGAAGCAAAAATGTAACTAGCCAATGACCACCTGAGAGAAGCTGACTGGTCTTAAATCAAAAGAAAAACCTCCCATATTCTCAAAAAACAGTAGTGGCCACCATCTTTCCTACATCACACCCCAAGTAGTGCCTTACCAATAAGGCAGTCTTCCATAGTGTTTTCCTAAAACATTTAATACTACTAACTTAAACAATGACAGAAATTCCTGTCACTGTACAATATACAATTAAAAGGAATGCAGGGATTCAACTCTGGTGCAGACAGGCAGAACTAAAATGTATCATATGGCAAGAGTTATGTTTGCTAGCCATCCACACTATAAAATTAGCAATAACTTCATTAACCGTCTCAATAGAAAACTCAAGGAAAAAACAACAGAGTGTAAGTGGTCTTGTATGCAAATATAGCCTCCTCAAAAGGTACTCTAAGGGGGCAAGAGACAATTCTGTTGCTGTTATTGTCTTGCATATCTGTTAGTACCTTACATATCTGCTTGGTGAAAAGACAACTGCATCCTTCAAGACTGTTACCCTGACTGACTTCAGTACATTCATGTTAGCAAATTTTAGCAAAGAAAGAAACCTCTCCTCCTGTACTTAGAGGGCCACCTCATTTTCCTCTCATAGATTTATTCCCTTCTCCTGGTATTAACAGAACTTGTCCTTAAAACCCCCAGGTCTTATAATTCCTTACAGAGGCCTTTTCTGATTCCTGCTTTACCTTACATTTCAAAGTTTAGTCATACCAAAACACTCATCTCAAGTTCCTTATATCCTAAATGCTCTTCTTTTTTTGGACTTTCTTCCTAACACCCCTGCCCCTAGTCCTCAGACTACAACATTTATACCAGGAAAGGAAACCAGTCCTGTAGCTGAAGAGGTAGTTCAAAACCTTTTGACTGTGCTTCAACTACTTGAAGTTTAGCACAGTAACAGTAAGCACCCTGATTTTCCTTCCATTATAACGGTAGATTTTAGACTGCTAATTGTACGCTGAATAGCAGCACACATGTATATTCACAATGCTATGTTTTGAATGCTATGCTTTGAATAGATTCCCCTTCAAGATATCAATAATCTTTTTTCACTAGAACATGGGGTAAATGTATTGTTGCTCCCAGCAGACACATGAACTCAGATACTATTTAAAAACAATCAACCTTTCTTCTCCCATGCTATCCTAAAAACAAGGGAGTTTTCAGCAAGATTTATCTCAGGTAAAGCCATTGCTAGCACAGCTTTACCACTTCTTTGACGTACAAAGTATATAGTATCCCAGTACTGCTTTAGTGAATCTTTTGATGGCAACCATAACATTATCTTTATCTGCATAGCAATTAGCAAAGAACAAGCAATCTATTTTTGCTCAAAGACTCAAAGAAAGTCTACTGACCAGGAAACCTGACTACTGACTCCATGTGGCTTTGCAAGGTGCTCCTGGACAATCTCTCCGATAACTTTTCAATTGCCATCAATACATCAGCCTTCTTTTGCAAACTGTGGCTGTTCTGAGGACAGTTCACCATGGTGAAGGCATAATGTGAGCAGGTAAAATGAAGAGCTGTGCCTTCTCTAACAGAACAGATCACCACCACCATAGAAGAGGAAGGGATTAAGAGATATTCAGTAAAGAGAAAGCTTTGTACCTTCAAGCCCTACAGGCTTAACAAGGCAGAGATAAAAACTTGCAAGTGCAGAAAGGGACAGGAGGAAGTTTAGCTAATCTCCTCTGTAGAAGGAGAAAACGTTTTTGATCTCTCCTTTGAGGAAAAGGAGATAGCGCCTTTTGTCATTCCCTTTCCTGGTGCTTGAAGGAAAAACCCTATTTAAAGGGCTAGTGATAATCCATGGATAAGAGGGCAAATTGGAAAAGAGATAAGATTCTGGAAACAGAGGACTCCAAAGTACCAGTGGCCTTCAGGCTGCCGGAGAGAGGATGGAAATGAGTCAAACTGATGCCCTACCCTTTCAAGAAGATTGCTCCCCACTCCCACAGCCAAGGGACCACCAGCCCTTCTAAAAGTAGTGTGACATTTTGTTGCAACTGAGAAATTTAAAAATGTGTCTAAAAAAACCCCAAACTATCACAAGTCTGACCAAAAGCCTGTTCCAGCTCTCTTCAGTCCCACTTTGGGCTGAGCTGCCTATGACACTTCAACAAGTTTTGCAAAAGTACGACTTCATGCCAGATGTTGATACACTTCTCTGGACTGAGTAGGAGCTTGTAATGAAAATGGTTCTGTTCCAGTTACCAGGATAAAACAAAATATTACACAGTACACCTATTGAAACCAAACTGCACACACAGATATAGTTTATTCATGAAATCAATATTTCCAGGGCAACAGACACTATGAAAATAGGCAACAATTAGTTTGTGCATTCTCAGCAGAAAAAAAAAACAAAAATGAGAAGTTAAAGCAAAACATAATGAAAATCTTAGAGCAAGTAACAGTGACCATGGACATGGGACAAATCCAGGATTTTCAAAAATCTCTACATTTCCGCTTTCCCACGCTACACCACCTCATTAAAAGCAGCATTTACCAAGACCTGCCATTCTTCTAAATCTGAAAGATAAGCTTTACCGTTAAGCTTTAACACTTCATGATGGATGTGACCTTTCATTCCTTTCCCCATTCAGTCAGCTAGTAGATTTTCTTTCCACATTACAAAACACAAGTCTTAACAAGACCACAAAGTATGTGACAAAGAAAGGTTTACCTTTGAGCCACTATCTGTAATGTTTATTTTGTAGTTAGAGGAAAAAAAATGAATCCTAACCTTACAAAAAGGGAAAAGCTGAATATACAGAGCCACAGCCACATCAGTGTTCCAGAAGAGCTCAAGAGAATTCTAACAGACAGCATGTATGATGCAGTATTTAACATACTGCATCATTATTCACTGGGCTGCCCCAAACACTGTCCATAAAAAGGTGACCATTAATTAATGTTTTTGAAACCCTCAAGTGACATCAAGCGCTGGCACTAAACCTTGGAAAACTGAGGGCCATTTTATTTATAAATAATGAAGTGAACTCGGCATTCAATCTGTATTTTACTTCCCCCCTTCTCTATTTAAGGCTGCTGTGCCAAAAAGGATTTTTAAAGTTCATCTAGAATTTATCTTTTGCTAATTTGTCCCATAAAATTGCTACTCCCAAAAGCCACATTACCGTTTCTTCACTTACAGTCCTTCTGGAGACAAAATTCTGCCATGATGTCTCTGAGACTTCAGACAAATAATTATGATCATATAATGGAATGGTTGTAGAAAATTGTAAGAACAAAAAAGCAAAGTACTAAAAAGAATGTACAAGGCCTCACCCTAACCTCTTTTATTCTACATCATGTCCTTCCACTGAATCCTGGCAACAGTTTTTTGTTATATGCACTGTTACCAAAACTTTTTTAACATTATTAAATGATAAAGGGGCTAATCTACAGCCTGGATCAGGAGATCTGCAACTAACATTATTTCACTTCAGGCAACTTTTTCTCTTTCCGTGAAACAGATTCTTCATCTGTGACAAAGGGATGATAGTCACCTATCTTTCCAAGCTCTCAAGCCCCATAAATCCACCTATATTTTACTTAAACATTTATGATATTCTGACAATCCCAATCCCTTCAGCCCTGACAGTAACTACAATCTAAGAGAAGCAGGTCCTAATGTTTTCTCAGCTTCTACTTTCAACTACTCCAAAACCCATTCCTTTCATCTGAAAGGATCATGGGAACATTTCTGAGGTCTGACACTTTTTGCAGGTATGTTTTTTGTTTTGTTTCCCTCCACCCAAGGAGAACTAGAGCCTGTCTGCATGCAAATTGTCAGGCCTTTTTTTTCTATATGCTGTGCTTCTAAATCATGAAGACATCTGTCTTTGCACCTAGCAGACCAGGTGCAAAGAAAGTCAAATGGGAATGGCAGTGATTCTGTAAGATGAGCTGTTTGAAACACAGAATCATAGAATGCTGAGGGTTAGAATCTGTTAGAGAGGAAACATACACAAACAGCCACATGTACTGTTTGCTCCGAAAGGGGGTTCACCTTTGGGTCTTCTTTTTCTCAATTCAAAATTCAAATAGTCCACACTGAAAGTATATGGCTGTTCCCTATGTGCAGAAAGCACTTAATTTCAAAAACCAAGAGAGAGAACCCCAGGAAATATGACAAATCCTACTTTAAGCTGCATCGGTATGAATCGATATCAATTCTGTTGAAGAAACTCAATTCCTACTGATGCAAGTGGAAGCAGCATTTATCCCAATATCTTTGCTGCTTTTTCTGAAACTAAATGTAGAAAAAAAAAAAAAATTTGTAAAATATAACTCAAATCCAACTAGAATCCCAGGATAACTGTGTTTTCTTACACTCATTTTACTTCATAAATTTTTAATAGTCATTTTGTGCAGACTGCCTCCTCCTCCCACCCTGGCTGGTTCCAACATGACTAGACATTACCTTGCAGACAATACTCCTAGTTACTGCTTCTTGGAGATGAC